TTTGGTAAAAGTTTTAGGCTGTTGATCAATACATAGAATAAAAAGAGTGACTCTTTCAGCTTTGCCTGCCTCTTACAGCACTTCTCCTTAGCACCAAGCAGCCAGCACTTAGTGTTTATCTTCATGGTCCTTATTTTATGCATCTCCACACACACATACACATATACAACAGACATCTGTGCTGTTATAAAAATACAGTAAAACATAGCTTTGCATGCTCTCAAGATCTTAGTTTGTTGCTTATGTTGCTCAGTTGAATTTGGGTCCTAAATTCAAGAATTTGATACTGAATTTAAGAAATTTTAGAATTTTGAGATGGGCATGGTGGTACATGACTGTAATCCCAGCACTCAGTAAGTTGGGGCAGAAGTACTGCTGAGTTTGAGGCCAGCCTGAACTGTACAGTTAGTTCCTAGCTCAACAACAGAAAGAAAAAAAAATATACACGATTAGTTTTGCACTTGAAAATATCATATACATTATTGCATCTCTAATAGGAAGAAGCAGGACACAGTGAGGCTTTGTCTCAAAAATACAGTATTTTCCCTCATATAGATTTTTAAACACACACACACACACACACACACACACACACACACACACACACACACACACACACCCCTGACATGTTTGAAGGGGGACTATGTGGGGAAAAGAAGTCAAGGGACAGTGAGGGAGACAATAGACAGTAGTGAGTGAATATCAACAAAGTCCATGATATGTATGTGTGAGAATATGATAACAGAAGTGATGCATGTATGCTAATTAAAACACATTAACCATGCAAAATAGATGATTTCTGTTTTTATTTCTTGCTAGTCAATACCATTTAAAATTTTAACTTACATATCTAAGGGGATGGATAGCTCCAGCTTTGTGATTCTTTAATTTTAAAGCATATGTCCTATATCTTCGTCTTAGCTTCTGAAAATAAAATTGACCACATTAGACTAAGAACATTTACTTTATTGGAGATTTATTTTTGGGTAATGTTGCACTGTTAATCAATGTTATTAATGTGGAATTATTTAAGTGGTACTAAATCCACATTACAGGGATTTTTGTTACATTCCCTGAAGCTTTAGAGACGTGGTTTGTTTCTGGGTTGTGGTCTGTGGGCTAAGACAGAAATTTAGTCTGTGTTCCTTCCTTTCCAGATAGGAATAGAGGATATGCTACAAACAAACCAGCCATTAACATGTCACGGAAAGTTGTGAAAATGTAGTTTCACCAATCTTTATCTTTGACTCGATAGTGTCAGGTGAAGTTGAAGGCAAAATGAAACACACTCAACTTTTAGGTTATGAGGAGTCGTTACATTTTTTTTAGAAAGCTGATGAACTCTGTATAGCATACATATGAGGAAGCTTCTCTTATTAGCCAAGTCCCCAACTTGATTCTTGTACTGCTAAAAAAGGGTAACTCAATACTTTCTGGAATGTGTCATGGTCTTTTTGTTTTGTTTTTAAGGATATTAAATGGTATTTATATATGTTTGTCATGCAACAATGAACAATTTCTCCACCCTAGGTTCTGATGCCAAATTCCTTTCTTTTATAATGGATAAATTTGTTTCGGTTTCAGACCCTGAATGAAAAATTTACTGGAGTGATTGAGTGGGGTGGGGAACATTCACCAGAGTGGGGTGAAGATGGCTCGGGGTGGGGGGGTAGTAAGGGTTGGGATGGTATTGTCTAACTTTTAGACAACTTTAGATTCTGAAACCTTAGGGATCATAGTCAGAACGGCCTGACCACAACTGGTCGGTGGTCACTGTGAGCAAACTCCATCTGCATGCACCTCTGCCTGTGTGCTCCCGTATGGAGTTGATATTTTGAACATTGGTTTCTGAAGGTGGAGCTTAGATATCTGCTGGTCTTCTCAATCACCTCCCTGGGAAATGTGCAAGAAGATTCTTTACTTTCCGTGGGAAGCAGTACTGCTTATTGCTGGCCTCAAGCAGTGGATACTTCCTTCCTCATTGACCTAGAGCTTACAAATCCCAGAAGACGATGATCAGGGTTAGCTTCTTCAGAGGGTGATGGGGAGGCTCTCTTTCGGACCCCTTTCCTTAGCTTGTAGATGCCACCTCCCACGTGTGTCCTCATATGGTTTTCCCTCTGTTTGTCTCTGAGTCTAGATTGCTCCTCATCGAGACATTAGTCAGATCATATCCTGACTTTCCTTAATGACCTCATTTTTTATCCAATTACCTATTTAAAGACCCTGTCCCCAAATATTGTACACACCTTGTCATCCTATGCCGTGGGGGTTGGAGACAAGAGGATCAGAAGTTTAAGGTCATTCCTGGCTACATCATGAGTTCAAAGCCAGCTTGGGATACTGTCTACCAAAAAAAAATGTGATGGATGGTTGGTCACTTTGGTCTATTTTGAGACCTTATGACTAGAGGAAGGTCTGTTGTTAGAAAGATCAGATAGATAATGAGAAATCAGTGGTGGTGGGGAGGGAGGGAAAGGAGGGGAGGGAGAAGAGAGGGTAAAGGAGGAAAAGAGACCTTGTTTCTGATTGCAGCACAATGCGGCTAAGCTGGGTCAGAAAAACCCATAGCCCCAGCTATTCCTAAAGCTAGGCTGAGTCATTCATTTCAGTTTGGGGCAATCCTTTAAAAGTCTTCAGTGGCCTTTGATTTTGCATCTATTAGTTTAAACTGGGTTGCTGTTCCTTGCCACTGAGGAAGTTTTCCTGCACAGTCCATAAAGTATTTAGCATGATGCATGTAGGGAATTTGGAAGCTGTTTGTGGAATGTGCCCTTGCTTACAGTTTTTGGGTAAGTCTCCCTACAGTTCCAGCTCAGTGCCCACAGGGCTACTTTCACTGTTGGAGCTTCAGATAGATTAGAACTCGGAACACTACTTCCTTCAGCCTGTTGGGCTTTTATAAAACATTGCTGAGCAAGAGTCATGGGGGGAGTTGGGAGGGGTGGGAGGAGAGGGATTGAGAAAACACGCGTGTTTCCTATTAGACGAATAGATGAGTTTTTCTGTTCGATAAAGAATCAAATGTCAAGTCAGGTGTGGTGGCTGAGCACTTGTTAGGCAATAATTCCAGCACTTGAGAAGCTGAGGCAGGAGGATTGCCTATGAGCTTAAGCTTGGGTGTGATGACATAATAAGCTTCAGGAAGGCCTGGGCTACAGAGTAAGGTTCAGTTTCAAACAAAACAAAACAAAATGCTGGGGTTTGGATAATAGATTACTTATCCATTGACAACTCCTGGTCACTTAGGACAGAGCAAGAGCTAACGTTCACAGTAGTTCAGGGGAAGTAACAAAAAGCAATGTGCTTGAGTAAGTTTTAAATCTAGACACACATCACCAAATGCCCAAAAAAAATTGTCGTTGGAATTTTGAATTGCTGAGGACAGGGTGGGGTCTTTTATTTGGATCAATTCTACACGCCATCTGGAAAGACGTCTTCTTCAGTTTACTCCCCCATTAGACCACACCATCTTACCACTTAGCATTCTAGAGATAAGCATCCACACTAGTGCATGAAGTTAAGTCTCTTCTAACAATGATGAACAAATGGTCTGAATATGCTGAGTTGACACACACCTCGGAGGATAAAAGTGTGAAGTCTGACCTCAGCCACCATGAGAGCAACTTCTGTTCCGGGCAGCTATCCAGCACATCCTTCCTCCCCTGGCCAACATCATGCTTGATTTCCTCTTAACCAAGAGACGTGTTTTGATTTTGCCTTAATTTTCCAGGTGTCTCCTACTTTTATGCCAGCTGGGAAGCATGCAGCTGGACCAGTGGAATGACTAGAGGGCCATGTTCTGACCATGTGTCTTCGAGTCACCTTCCAAGCCCTCAGAGATGGGTTCTCTCCTTGGCAACATCATCTTTTGTTAATTTTGCCACCTTCTGGGAAGGACATCCGGTCCTGAAACCTGATCTGATTTTTTTTTTTCTATTTGGGGATGAGTGAGGCCAGCTTTTCTGCCCCTTTCTTTAAGTGGCCAGATGTACACTGATTCCAGATTTCTTCTCTGTTCCTGGACCTGGCAAGTGAAAAAAAAAATCCTACAGAGAATGCACTGGGTGCTGTTTTCTCCATGTATCATGCATGTGCAGACTATCTTCAGCTCCTAATTCATGATTATGCTGTTCTCAAGGGCCAGACAGATCTTTGCATACTCTCCAGGCCCCTTTAACAGCTGACAAAATCTTGATAAGCGGCAAGGAAGTTAGGGCTTTCCGTGCACAGTTGTGCATCTTACGATGATGAAGGATCCAAACGATTCCTGACTCTTACCCCTTAGGCATTGGACTGACGCTCCTAGGTTGCTGTTGTCCCTTGTACATCGAGTGACATCAGCAGCAGAAAGATATGCTCTTAGCTAGATTCTGAAATGCAATGTCTAAGCTTGCAAGCAAATCTTACTGATTTTTCATCACTTATTTATAGAAGAGAACAAATTTCGGCTTATTTCTGAGAACAGCGATGAATGGAGCTCCTTCTTAATGTCCACGACTCAGAAAAGCAATGGTGGGCACTGAGCATTTGGAATTCCTGTCGCATGGATGTATATGCCCATTACGATCCTTTTTTACTGTGTGATCTTTGATGGAATTAAATGTGATGCCATTTACAATTAAAAAAACATTTATAATATTAAATTATAGCATGTAAATATTTACAGATTTTCCAGAATAATGTTGAATGTCTCATTGGGACTCAATTATTCAAAATATTTTCTTTTTTTTCTTTTCATGTGATAGAGTTTTATTACAGTGCTAATACTCAAGACACGCACAGCACCTTAGTCTTCTAGTCTGAGTTTTGGTAACTGGTTTAAAAGTGTTACTGGACGGTGGTGGTGCACGCCTTTAATCCCAGCACTCGGGAGGCAGAGCCAGGCGGATCTCTGTGAGTTCGAGGCCAGCCTGGGCTACCAAGTGAGTTCCAGGAAAGGCGCAAAACTACACAGAGAAACCCTGTCTCGAAAAACCAAAAAAAAAAAAAAAAAAAGTGTTACCGGAGCTGCTGTTCTTTCCACACGTCAGCTTTCAGGAAAAAGTCCTCAGTGGTAACTAAGCGACATTAATTTGATTGAACAGTTTGTCCTTAATAACCTGAGACATCAATCCGTGGATGGCTTCTATGGTAGTTTTACAGCTGTCTCGAGTAGCTTTGGCAAGTTTGTCTTCTGACTTCCGGTCATGTGTTTCTAAACCCAACATGAAACTCCCTCGTCCCAGCTGGGCTTCTGACTGCTCTAATTTTTCAGACAAATCAAATACCTGGCCAGTGGTATAGTCTGCATTAGTAAGCAAGCTAGAGGAACTCAGGGTATTCACCCAGTATTTATTCCACAAAAGCTCAAGTAGTTTACGATCCAAAGAGGATTTGAAATATGAGACTTCTAAGGCATAATATTGTTTGCAGTGCACGCCAAGGTCTTCTATTTTATTAAGTGGGATAGTCTGGTACTCAGAAGGACCTTCATCAGGAGGCTTGTAGCCCTTTGGATCCATCCTAAAGGTGCCAAGATTCACTTTTCCTGCAGATATTGTTCTGGTTGGGTCAATCACTACCGCTACAAATGGTTCCTGGAACTGCTGGTTAAGCATCTGTGTACTAACGTCAATCCCAGAGAGCCAGCAACCATAACCAGGGTGGCTATGATACCAGCCAATTGCATTTTCAAGGCGGCCAACCTGTTTGGCATTTTCTTTTTTGGTTTTTTGAGCAAGGTTTTCTCTGTGTAGCTTTGCATCTTCCCTGGAACTCACTCTGTAGCCCAGGCTTGGCCTCGAACTCACAGAGATCCACCTGCCTCTGCCTCCCAATGCTGGGACTAAAGGCAAGCGCCACCACCGCCCAGCTGGCAGTTTCTATGTATGCAGCCATATATATATATATATATATATATATATATATATATATATATATATATATATATATATATATATATATATATATATATATATATATATATATATATATATATACTCATATGCAGCAGCCTGAGCATTTACTCGGGTTTCAGTGCCCTCTACAGGCAAAGCAAAGCTGTCTGTGATGATCATGGTCTCTCCATCCACTTTCCTGAGCATCAAGCCCATCACTTCCAGGTTGCCTCCTGATCTGGCATGCATCACCATTTTCAGTAGAGCCAACACCAAGATTTTGCAGTATTTAAAGTAATGGTGATCCTTAGTCCAGGGTTTCGCCGCCAGAATTTCTTGCTCCTGTTTTTTGTCATATTTGTAGATTTCATCGTTACTCTGCGCTTCCTGCATGCTGTTGGCCAATTCCCAGGTTTTCTGGGCCATACCACTCCCAGAAGCCGCCACGGTCGAGGGACCAGAGAAGCTGTAGCCTCCACAGCCGAGATGCAACTTTACTTCATTGGGCCTCCGAGTGTGGACTGGGCACCTTCCCCGACCACGGGTGCACACTCACTAGATTCTCAAGGCGGCCATGACTCAAAATGTTTTCTTGAGCAGCTATTATGTATAGGTGTTGTGTATGAGTGACAAGAGTATAGATAGGTCAAAGTTTGTGTCTTTGAGAGGAGCGAAGGGCTGAAAAATAGACTTTTAATGCAATTTGGTATGAGCGATTACAGAGAACAGATTCAGGGAGTTTAGATGACAGAGGAGGGACACCAAGCAAACCTGGGGAGAGAGGGGGGATCAGGAAAGGTTCTGTGGGTAGATTACACTTGGGCAGAAAATGAGCCAGGAGAGAATGGAGGTAGGTGGTGCAGGGTTGGGGTGCACTGCCTGGGATGCATGCAGGTTGGGCGGCAGAGCACTTTGTCTGGGCACAATCTCCAGCACCCAGGAAGACGAAAGATATGCAATGAATGCGTTTAGAAGTGGCTCATGTGTGCAATCCTAGCATTTGGGAAATAGAGGCAAGAATATTAGGAATTCAAAGCGTATGATCCTGTCTCAGAACATGTATTGATCGCCAGCAAACCAATATACTATAGACACATTCAGTATACGGGGTTTTCTCTGCTTATGTCTTTTCATTAATTCACGTTGAATCTGCGCTGTGTTTCAAGTTTTTGGTCACCTGTTGATGGTTCTAGGACTTTTCCTGTTGGGGACAGGAAAGGAGGAACCAAATTCATAGAGCATAATGAGTTTATAATTCATATTGAGGTTGGTGTCTAAAACACTAAGAAGAAAATGACGGTACTAGAAAGCCATTAAAAGTAGAAAATATTTGGTGATATCAAATTAGATGCTGGGATAGTTCAAGCCAGAAGGAACCGTAAGGCAGCAAATATTACTGGCCTTAAATCTTGATTTTATGAGGTGAAGGCTGCCTAGCCCTGGAACCTCTCCTGAGCTCGACCCAAGAAGTTCTGAGATAGACTTACGGCGATGAAGGTTTATGGCTCAGGAGAACCTTGACGTTGAGCAGTTTAGGGAATAGGCTACTAAATTTCTGAAAGTCCCAGGAAAGGAAAGATCTGGGTCTCAAGGCCGAGCTCAGAGAACTGAATGGCACTGTACAGCTCCATTGCTTGTGGATAGATGCTAGCATTTTTGCCATCTTTAATCCTATTTTCCTAATGGACAAGTTCATTACTTCTAATGACAGTATAATGAAGTTAATAAATGACTCACACCTATGATGGGAAAAGTGGTTATCAGGCTATGACTTGAGTCTACCTATGGAAGTCTGGCAGCGGTGTGTATGATGTACTGGTACTGTTTAGTGGTTGGCTCTTCGGTTTTGTACGCTGTTGTTTACACATTTCTTGAGTATAGCACCCTTTAAAACGCCCTTAATGCCCTTTTCATTGACACTGTGGTTGAATAACAAATCAAGGGGCAATTAAGATATTTTGATAACTATGATATTTTGCTGAGAAGTTTGTCAAGCTGAGTTCTGAATTTTGGAATGCTCATATTGTATTATAGTTCCAGCACTCCAGTTGGACCTGCAGGAAATCTAAACACCTGGACAAAAAAATTATCATATCGAGATGGATCAGTTATTCAGTTTTGTCATCATAATACCAAAGACTTAGATCACTGGAAGAGTTTTTAAGTCATATATTATCAGATGTTTCACATTCTGTGGATACAGCTAGAATACAAAATATAGATTCAGACCAGGGAAAAGCAGGGCAGTAGCTGCAGGGTGTGGTTGCACATGCCTGCAATCCTAGTACTCTGCATACTGAAGTAGGATGATCATGAGTTCAAGACCATGCTGGGATATACAGTGAGGTCCTACCTAAGCAAAGAAGGAAGAAAGGAAGGAGGTATAAAAGGATGCACGGACAGCTTTGTAATTGAATATATTACATGCGTATTGCTTCTTGAAAAGGAGTCAGTGGAGAGTTTGGAGTTTATAGAGATAATGGAGATGTGATCCTTAGAGCCATCATTTAAGAATGACTCAATAATATCTTGATAGGTTAAGGACATAAAAGGTATTGGCAGAAAGATATGTAGGATTTTGTTTGACTTTGCAGTATACATTTTTTTGTGTACTGAAGCTGAAAAGTGGTTCTTTCATGTTAAACAAACAGAATGGTTTTCATCATTTTAGTCACAAAAATTCCACTTTGAAGTGTTTAAAGTAAACTTGTATTAGTTTTATACTAAAAATTTATAAGCACAGATAGGCTCTTTGAGAAACTTAATAGTGGCTGACATACTGAATATATTTCCTACATTAATTCTTGGAATCCTACAAAAATCCAGTAATAACTTGTTTTAAAATTTGATTAATACCCACAGTAGTAAGGATCAGTATGGCATTTTGCTCTGGCCCAGGCCCACTTGCTCAACACTGGTTTCTCCCCAGTCGTGTTTTCCTTTCTAATATCATTGCTCATATCTACACTCACCTCTCACTTACATGTACACATGTAAACAATGTAAACTCAGATTCACTTTCCAGAGAACCTGACATTACAACTAGTTAAATATTATATCAAGACAGATTAGAGATTTAGTGGATTTGGAGCTTTCTACCTCTGGTAATCCATTCCTTATTGATAAGGTAGTTTCTTGTTATTAGGCATAGGACAGTAGAGTTTCTGTTGCTGTGAAGAGACACCATGACAACAGCAACTCTTTTAAAGATAACATTTATTTGGGGCTAGCTTACAGTTCAGAGGTTCAGTCCATCATGGTGGGAATCAAAGCAGCATGCAGACAGACTTGGTGCTAGAGAAGGAACTGAGAGTTCTTACATCTTGACTCATGGGCAACAGGAAATGGTCTGAGACACTGGGAGGTATCTTGAGCATATATGAGACCCCAACACCCACCTCCACAGTGACACACTTCCTCCAACAAGACCATACTTACACCAACAAAGACATACCTCCTAACAGCGCCACTCCCTTTGGGGGCCATTTTCTTTCAAACCACCACAGATGGGAAATGAAAATGAATGGAGATTTTTAAGAACTTGGCAGAAGAAAGAGAAAGGGAGGAAAAAAGGGTGAAGAAGAGCATGTATAATATGTGGGTGTGAAAGAAGCAATGAGAACTTCTAGGTCGCTATATATTCTGTTTAGCTATGAGTGTGTCATTTAACTTTTTAAGATAAAATGTCAAAGAATACTGCAAATCATATATTAAATAGAGGATGACAACAACAGAAACCAAGCACAAACTCTCATGGGAATGTATGGTCTCAGTGACCTGGGAGCTCTAGGTCGAATTCATAAAAGCAGAGAGGGTAGTGGTGGTCACTAAGTGATAGGGGAGAGTGAGAGGAACGGGAGGGTGTTGATTAAGGCATATGAAGTTTGACATGAATAAGTTTTGCGTATTTTAAATTAATAACACAATGACAATGTAATGTAGTTGAAACTTGCTGAGACAGCAGTGCTTAAGTTTGCTTAACACACAGATCCCAGTGATAATGTATGGGTAGATGGATGTGTTGAGCAGGTCAATAGTGACCATTCCACAATATGTACATAAATCAGAACATCATATTGTATACCTCAAATGTATATAATTTTATCTGTTAATTATACTTCAGTAAAGCTGGAAAAAATGTGATTATGTGAACAGTCAACTGTGATAAATATTTTGTTCCTATCTAATATGGAAGAAATTAATTCAGAAGAAATTGATAAGAATACAATACATTTGGATTTGAGACGTCAATCTCTAAGCACTGTAATTAGCAAAGTAATGTTAACTAAATCGTTTGTTACTGATGTGGAACATTCAGGTATTTGGGAAAAAAATGTCATTTCAGAAACTATGCCTTTACCAAACACTGGCTATGAATTATTCAATGAGTGTGCGGGGGTGATATTGTTTATAACACATTTCCTGCCAACTTCTGTTTTTTACTAAATGTTTAAAAAAATTGAGGCAGCTTCACAATGTAATTGGTAATAGAAGCAGATGGCACCTTTCTGACCCTTCATTTTAGCTCCTAGGCATCTGCAATCAGTTATATGCTAGATATGCAGACAGACAATATGCATTGAAATTAGCCCCATCTTTTTTAGCTGTCAAAAAGTAGACTTGGCCATAAAATTTGAGAGTAAAGAATCTGAGAGATCATCTAGTTCAATTCTTGTATTTTACAGGTGAGGAAATTCTTGGTCGGAGAGAGGCAGTAAATTGACTAGTTCAAGGTCACAGAGGAAGGAGACGGGACTAGATCTCAGCCCCTTGACTTACAGCCAGAGTCCACTCACTTCCAGGATCAAGACTGCCTTTCATTCTAGGGAAGATCTGAATATTTATCTACGCGAAATTATAAAACATCCCAAGATCCCTGAAAATTAACAAGAATAATAACATGGGAGTATCTTTTTACCCAGTACTGCTAAAATTTTGGAAACTCCAATATGCACTGGAGTTTAAAAAAAAAGTTGTGGTGAAATTTAAGTATTCTTAGATCAGATTCCTTCAAATTATGGTAAAATAACATTAACTTAGATATCAATTAATTTATAGTTCTTTGAAAGTTAATTGTATTAAGTATTTCTGATTCCCTGAAAATAATAATTCACATAGTACTATCATTACAACACAGGATTGTCATATGCATGCATTGCATTATGTTATATAAAATGACACTTTGCTATTGTCTTAGAATCAATTAATTTTCTTTCTTTGAATTTTAAAATAAGTATTTTATGTTATGGGTGTTTTGTTTGCATGAATGTCTGCTCCACATGTATGCAGTGCCCAAGGAAGCCAGAAGAGGGCACCCGATCCCCTAGGACTGGAGTTAAATAGTTGTGAGCCATACGTTGTGTGCTGGGAAATGAACCCAGATCCTGTGAAGGACAAGCCAGAGTTTTTAACCACAGAGCCATCTCTCCAACCTCCTCAAACCATTTTTCCTAGAGAAAGTTGTCTCTATTTAGCTATCATTTTTTTTTTTTTTTTGGTTTTTCAAGACAGGGTTTCTCAGTGTAGCTTTGCGCCTTTCCTGGAACTCACTTGGTAGTCCAGGCTGGCCTCGAACTCACAGAGATCCGCCTGGCTCTGCCTCCCGAGTGCTGGGATTAAAGGCGTGTGCCACCACCGCCCGGCTAGTTATCATTTTTTTAAAGACCTCTAGTAGCCTAAATAGTTTATATGTAGAGAAAAAAAAAATACTCCTGTTTGGGGTCGACAGTACGTACCTCTTGTCTGTCCCACAAGTAGAGCTGCCTGGCTTAGGTCTTCCTTGTTCCTGAGCCAAACCCCCATGTAAAGCCAACCCATACACATTAGCAGCTGAAAGCCCCCAAAGAGAAGGTTCACAGGTCTGTCAGTGGCAAAGTTCAGAGCATGGCCAACTTGAGTGAAGGATATTGTGAAAATATTTGAACTTGGGTGAGGGTTTTTTTTTTTTTGCTTCTGTTTGAATATTGGTTATGCCTGATTTTCTGAAAATTCACATCAAAGAGAATGAAGAAGTTGAGCTGTGAATGAAGTTCTGACTGGAGAGAAGATGGGAATCTGTGATGGTTGGTCTTAATGTCATCTGACCACAAATTAGGGTCAGCTGAACAGAGAACCTCAACTGAGCAACTGTCCTGATTGTCTTAACTGATGTGAAAAGACCCACTGCCCAAATGTAGGTGGTACCTTATAGTAGCAGCCCTGATTTAAAAAAAGGGGGGGCATGGCAGAAAGAATATCAGTCCCTCTTTTTCACTCTTGGCCTTCCCTTTCTCTGCCAAGTTAATTTATCATGCTGCTGCTGCTGTAGTTGATGTTGGAGTGAGCATTTGCAGGCTTTCATTGTTAACTGAGGACCAGCAGCTCTCTAGTAACCCTCCAGCTCTTCAGCACTGGTTGGGACTGCTGAAACACTCACCACACGGACTGAGCAACTATCAGGTTCTTAGCATGGTCAGTGTGAGACAGCCATTGTGTGTCTACTCTGACCACTGAGACACCCAGCCTCACGGCCTGAGCAAGTATGGGATTCCCAGCCTGTCAGGTGAGGAATTGCTATTTTGACATAAGCCAATAAATAAACAAGCAAATGAACTCTTATCAGTTCTGTTCCTTTAGAGAACTCTGATTAATACAAAACCCTTCTAGGTTTTTGTCCCCAAAATCATGCCTATGGAAGTGATTTTGGGTAGAACTGATTGGATTTGAAAGCACATCCTTTCTGACAATCACATAGACCGTAAAGGTAAGGAACTCCTCTCCTTCATTGTGGAGGGGCTACCCACCATCCCCACAGTTCCCCAGAGTGCTCTTGAGTAGGAGCAGCAGGAAATATTAGTTAGAAGGATATTGAGGGGGGAGATAAAGATAGAAAATACAGGATAGCCTCGAGAGGGCCCTGACTGTCTCTGCCCTAGGGTATTTATAGGAATGCCAAGGGGTGGAGCCAAAGACCTCCACCCAGCACAGCCTGTGCAGACCATCTCAGATACCTGCACTCAGGTCCATGGTCCAATCATCCCCTCTATGCAGATCTGCTGGGTAAAGCCACTAAGGAAACCTGAAAATGGGCTCCCACACTTCATCTCATGTAAGTTCATCAATGTGACCTAATGGTCAAATGAGTGTGAGATAATGTATAGTACAGAATCCTACCTACCCCCAGGTCCCTCACCTGCAGGTTTCCCCAACTTTGCTATGCTTACCCTTGCCTCAACCCCTACCACTTTATATTCCATCCACTTGAGCGTCTCCTCTTTCTCCAAGCAGATTTTGTTCATGTCCTTATTCCCTGCCTGGAATTTCTTCCTTCCCACACCCTCTCTTCTTTTAAAGAAAAACTCATAAAACTTGCAACTAAGTTTCAAGACTAATGTACCTCAGGAAAATGAATCGTTGCAGAGAGGTGCAGATTTGAGACTGGGGTGTAACTCAGGGCAGAGGAAGTGCCTATCATTTACAAAGTCTTGGGTTAGAGCTATAGCGGTGGAAAAAGGTAGAAATCTGGAGAGACAAGCAAAAGGGAAAAAAAATCATTATTAAAATTCGTCTGATAAATCAGAAGTCTCAGTTTGATAAAGTAACTAGTACATGCATGGGACGCACTCCCAATGTTAATGAATACATGAAGTCCGTAACGTGCTTGATCATTTTTGTTGGATTGAAACAACAAGAAACTCCCCTGTACCCTTTAGCTTCACCTAGGCCCTCATATACAGCACCACTCAGAAGCATCTGTGTCAGTCTTCTTTGCTCTGTTGTGTTAAGGGAGGCTCACTGCTCCGATGAATCACTGATGACTGTGTTCCTGAGACGAGCCCAGCAAACTCGTGTATCTGACGCGCATTCTTTAGTCCCATTGCGCTTATTTATACTTGGTTTTTGCCCTCATTTTTAATTTCTTGCTTTGCTATTCCAGCTTCTGCCCAGAATCTGCAGCCTACCCTGAATCCTGGCTCACTTAATTCAAGCCTGGGGACATTTGGTTGTATTTCACTATTTAGTGGACATCCAGATCCTGGCCTCCTACCCAGAGGTTAGCTATGGGTTCTGCCTCCAGACTGGGCATTGAGAATTTTGACACCGTTTCCTTTCCAATGTGGAATATCTCTATTTTGTGGCACACCCCAGAAGTCAAGGGCAAGGGAGTCATACGGACTTGAATTGGAGTTGACTGCCTTTATACGAGAATTTGGTCACCACTTTCAGCCTTTGGTTTGTAAATTGAAGTTAACAGAAAATCTCCGTGTTGTGAAGATTCTATAGGAATGTGTACAGCAAGCAATATGGTACACGTGGGAGTGATGAGTATCTTTTCAGCTTATAAGGGTGGAAACGCTGGCCTAAAGCCACAGGAACATGCTCTTAGAAGGGATGTTGGCTCACTTGTGTTCTGACTAGACTTCTAAGGTTCTAACCCAGGGTTGACTATGCAATGCTTTCTACTGCCAAACTCTAACAAGCAAGAGTTGGGAGGTTTGCAGAAACCTTCAACTGTTTTATCATGTTGCTTGTGCCTTGGCAAGATAAAGGAGATTGATTCTTTTAAAGACACAGTAATTAAGTAGGCAGACTATGAACTGTCAATAATATCAACAAAGCAATTCATTAAGACAGAGTAGATGCTATTCATTAATATACTGATTTTGAACAAACAAAAGTTTGCCACAGGTAAGCCCAAATTCTTCATAATTTGTCTAAAATTGATGACATGTTGACTTCATTCTTCAGCGTTTTCTAGATGTTATTCATAATGGCACGAAATAAATATTCTTGGAAACCAACCAGCATATTTCTCTAGAAACAGCAAGTAGTAAAATGGTGCTCAAATGCTTGGAAACTGCCTTTGTGCTCAACATATTTCATTGTTTCATTCTAACCATGTGGTAAAATGGCCATAGATTTTGGAGTCAGACAAATACAGTTTCTGAATTGTTAGATTAATATCATTGAGATGTTGTTTTTATTTTCTCTATTTTTCAACACAGAGGCTCAGATTAACAATAAAAATGCAAGTCAAGAGACTCCTATTGTTTAGCTTGAACTGTTTAGCCTCCCCCAGGCAGTGGGATCGAGACTTATCCCTGGTGCATGAGCTGGCTTTTTGGAACCCAATGCCTATGACGGGACACTTTGCATAGCCTTGGTGCAGGGAGGAGGGGCTTGGACCTGCCTCAACTGAATGTACCAGGCTCTGCTGACTCCCCATGGGAGACCTTGCCTTCTTGTAGGAGGAAATGGGGGGTGGGTTGGGGAGGAAGGCTGGGGGAGGGGAGGGAGGAGGGAGGACAGGGGAATCTGTGGTTGGCATGTAAAATGAATAGAAAATCTCTTAATAATAATAAATAGGTACAACTGAAAAGTTAAAAAAAGAAAAATTAAGCTAAAACAGTGAGATTAAAGCTAGATATGGAATGAAGTGTAGGAAATATAGAGAAGAGAGTTATCAATGAGCTCATTAGATGAAATATACAAGAATTCATGTACAAAATATCCCTAAGTATTATATTACATAAAATTTATCCTGGAAAGGTGATCCTTTGGGATGTAGACAGTACAAGAGGATGCTAAAAGAACATTGATAATCAGGGATCATATTCAATGTACAGATGGGTTGAGGTGAGAGGAGATGTATGTGTGCTGCCTTTTCAGATTACTCTGTCCTGTTCTAAAATAAATTTATGTAACAAATATTTTGATGATACACACACACACACACACACACACACACACACACACACAAAGAGACCCCTGTCATGCCACAGCAGTTTCTATGTTTTGATTTCTAAACCAAATGCCCACTTTATATGTAGTTAATGGGAACTTACTTTGGAACTACTCTACATTCACCTTCTCATATAATAAATGTCAAAGTGATCTAATACAGGACTTGAATATTTTTTTCCTTTCGTCGGTACAACTCAAGGATTTCATAAGGAGATGGGTAGGGGAAGGGAAATTATTGCATTCATTAACTTGGTAAACAGGAATAGGGGTGTTATTCAGTATGTGCTATTATGTGTGAAATTGTGCCCATTCATGCACAGAAAATTACTGGACTCTGTTTTAAATGCTGTATGTATATATATATATATATATACGTATATATATAGTATATATAATAGAGAACAAGAACAGTCTTGAGCATTGTTCAAATAATGCTAATGCTCAAGGGAATACAGAAGATTAAATACGTAAATTATGTTTCACTAGAAACTAAGCAGGATATCCAGAAAGCAAGGTAAATTAAGGGGAAGGTGTGTTGCTATGATGTGGAATGCTTTCTTAGTGTGGCTGGAGAATGATGCTGATAAAGTGACATTTGAGCAGGGGTCTGAAGAGAACAAAGAAGATTGGAGATATTAAAGCTAAAAGTGTTTATGCAGAGAACCAATATCTTGCAACAGCTCTTGAGAAAGGAGACCACACAGACTGTTCGTAGAATACCATTGTTTGAACAAGTGGACCATGAGAGAGATGAGATGGAGTGGAGGAGATGAATTAGTAATACAGAACTGCACAGTGTCTAAGTAATGATGCTATATTGTGCTTCTGACTCTCAAATATTATTAACTATTGCCATTGCCCTTGGTTACCCTCCCAAACTTGACAGTAAGATTCTAATGCCAAAGACATTGCACACTTGAGGAATAGAATATGGAGAATCAAGCTGGTTCTGACCTGGAAACGCCATCCCTACTGGTACCTTTTTTAGTGATAGCATGTACTAAGCATCCTACTGGATGTTGGGATGACTACAAGATTTGTGAGCTCACTCATGATGAATAATCATCAATATTATACACTAATGAACCCTGTGAACTACAATAATGACCTACATAGCGAGTGCCTACTGGTGCTATAGTGGCATGAGTGTCATGGGAGTAACCAACTACTTTTTTTTTTGGCTGCTCCACAAGATAAAACCTATGACTGAATACTTATTGGGGCCAACAACCTGTGGCTAAAGAGGTCATAAGCCCTAGGGGAGAACTTACTACTATTATTTCTTTAGTGAGACATAGTATTAACCATCTCATAACAACTTCTCACTACACCCATAGATTAGCGCATTTCACAGACTTTTACCAGAGATTATGTCTGCTCTGATATTGCTTCTTTTGGCAATGGGTGGTGACTAACACATTTACCAACAGATGGTCAAGATGTAGAGGGTAAGTTATTATGGAGTTCTCAGTCTTAAATGGGACATCTACATCATATACATACTTCCAAAGGTTCAAGCATCATTGCAGAAGTGGGGGATGAGAGACCGTAAGGGCTGGAGATTTTGGGATGACTACAAGAAAATCATGCTTTCCAGAGACAGTAGGGCAGTTGCACATATGAACTCACAATAGTTGTGACATTATGCACAAGACCTATGGAAGCTGAAATGAGACAAAATACCAGCATCGAAGTGGGGAGGTGGGTGGGAAGTCTAGCTGAGCAGCTATGGGTAGTCGGCAGCTGATCAGGAAGGAGAGTTAACTTTTCTTTAAAGGTGTGGTCCTTGGCAGGTGGAACACTCTTCAGTGGATGGTCACATATCCAAGAGTCTATAGGCAGAAAGAATTAGGTTTAGTGGGTTGAAAACATGAGTGAGCTCACAAAATTGCGTGGCGATGGAATGGAAGTGATTCTGAGAGAAACTGGGGGAGAGAACAAATATAATCGAAACACACAGGGCCCCATCCTTCAGGAGCTACAGGCAACTATGGAATGCTGAGAGTGGGAGAAATAGTTTTCCCCAGAGATGGGTTCCCTAATTGGTTATCCAATACAATTTGGCCATCCCTGAAATCGTAGACATACAAGTAAGACTAAACAGATGTAGCGAGTTGTTCACTACACATATATTTGTGTGTGTGTGTGTGTGTGTGTGTGTGTGTGTGTGTGTGTGTGTGTAACAATAACAAAGAAAACAAAATCTTGAATTTGAGGTAGAGAGTAAGTTGGGAGACGTAAAAGGACTTCTTGAGAAGAAAAGGAAAGGGAGAAAATGATGTAACTGTAGTTTAATTTCAACACATAAAAACCCAAAATCATATATCATATCATATATGAAATTCTCAAAAATGTAACAAGAAAACAAAACCTTTTTTTTAAAAAAAAAACTTTTCACAAAGGTTAAGTATTATTAGCGTAATAACAATAGTGATGATAGCTAATAAAGAGATCAGAGGTATAACATATGAATGGGTTGTTCTCAGATGGACAGTACATCATTCTGTGATGAGATTTGGGTTGTCAGTGTGATTGAGGTATACTACTTTTGGGATTCGTTGAGGCCAGGGATGCTCGATGCGTTGTGATAAGTGAGATGTTTCAACAGAGTGAAGGGTTGTCTTTTACCTCACACAGCAGTCTCATACAGGGGTAAGAAGTTGTGTCACATAGATATCCCCCAAGCAATCATGGTCACACAGGTAGTGGGCAGCAGAACTGTTGGACCCACTGACAGCGTCCTGCTGGGTACAGATGCCAGACATATTCAGCTCTGAGTGGTACCCTTGTGCGTTCATAAACTTTAGTTTTCTGACTCCACAGATAAATCCATAGTTTTTTTTTTTAATCTTCTCACCATTTTATAATCACTGAATTTCTTAAGAATGCAATCACTATGCAGCTGGAAGAAAACTGTTTTATTTTGCCCAGAGCTTTATTAAGAATTTTTCATGTTTGTTTTAGCCAGGGTCTTATCCATAAAGAGAGACCAAAAGGGAAAACTTGAATGCACGCTAGTGACTCCAGTGTCGAATTAGCTGGGAAGAGTGTGATGCATATGACAGTTATGGGAAGCTTCTCTGACAAGTGCACCAGCCTGGGTAAATTCCTTTGAATAGATCCAGCCTTTAGT